AAGCCATGGGCCACGCCGCTCCGCAGCCACGACCACCTCGTGGCTTGTCTGCTTGACAAACATGTGGAGCCATTCCAGCGCGCTCGGGCGGCGGCTTTCCGCGAAGGCGTTCAGATCTGCTTCGCGGCGACCCGGCGCACACCGCGCGTCCATCGCCTCGGAGGCGCCAGTAGCCTTGCTGGATCTGGAAGGACAGCTCCTCCGTAGCACGCTTGTAGAAGTCCTTTGACGCAGTCGGAAGGTTCCTCACGTGACTTAGCAGATTTGCCGCGGCCTTTGCCTTTCCCTTTGCCATGCACCTTGGCAACCTTCCGCACTTGAGCCTGCGGCTCCTCCTTGGCCTTTGCCGCGGCAGACGTTTTGGGCGCCATGTCGGCAGCTAGTAAGCCAAACTGCAGGTTCTGCCATGGGTGCAACTGAGACATGTCATGCCAACCCAATCAAGGCGCATTAATCGCGCGTTGCCATGTGACAGGCGTGTGAGAGACCGGGCATCCACCACGAAGGAACTCTGCAATCTTGTCCAAAAAGAACGGAAGCAGCGACGACGTCCATGCAGGTTGTAGGCCCGCTCGCAGCCATCACGCGGCTATCAGATGAGCTGGCGCAAGCGCTGTCCACTGCAGCAAGAGCCGCCAGAGATGTGTCGCAAATATGGCCGCAAGCACGCACATATTTCACCCAGACTCACTGTCCACATCCCAGATGAAAGTTGCATCAACGGCGCATCTGCTTCGCGTTCCAAGTGGCAACGAGCCCAGCGCAATATGCGACATCTCACCACCGTGGTCGAAACACGCTGCATGGCCAGCACAAGAATCTACCAGTCTTATTTCATTACTGCATGTATCCGCGCGAAATGATCGCTGCGAAACGCAAAGAAATTTGTTTAGCAAACTGGGATCAAATCAATAATGAGTCGTTTGATGAGAATCATTCACATTAAACATCTCAAAATGAAGGAGCTGAGAGCTGCGGTCATACTCAAGGTCGCTGTATTGAATGTGTGAGTTGAATTTCACAGTATGAGCAAATCCATAACAAACATGTTGACAATTCATTTATGTATTTTCTTGATATGAGTGTCAAACAAAATATTAAGCACTCAAAACATAGTTCATCAATCATTTCCATTGTACTCGCAAGCAACAACCCACAAGCAAACAATATCGTGTTTTGATATGTTAAGAAGTAATCTCAGTTGACAATCAGTCAAGTATGAAACTACGTAAATGAGAATATCACTGATCACAACCATTCACAAATACATATGGGTAGGTCAATATATATACATATATTCACAAATCAAGACTTGCCCACAAATGAGGTCCCGTGTACTCAGAATTGCAATCAAATCTGATCAAACTTACTCCAACATTTGAGTAATTAGAAAAAACAATTAAAAATCTGAAAAACATCTGAAACAATCTGAAAAAATCTGAAAAAATCTGAATCTGAAAATTTAGTAAAGGAAATGATGAACATCTGAAAAAAATCAGATTTTTCAGATTTTTTCAGATTCTGAATCATGCACACATATGTCTGAAAACAGTCTGAAAACCTGAATATGTCTGAATCTGTCTATCTTCAGCTGTCTCACCAATAGAATCTGAAACATACATATTGTTTCAGGACAATTTCAGGTTTTCAACTATGGTCTGATTGCAAATATGCGGCTTCCTTTCACAGCCGAAATATTGTTGTAATACCAAAATATTTCAATGGTTTATAAACTTCAAAGATTTCATAGCATAATTGATGAACCCCTCCAAAAAAGTCCCACTTCACCAAAAACAGCAGGCCGACCAAGCAACTACAGGCCCTGAAAGGGGTCCAGCTTCACAAAAAATGGCAGCCACAGACAGCAAACAAATTAGAAGTTCTGGCCAGTAAAAAGCTCTGCTGCGCAGAGGAAAAAAAACAGGCGCACACAACAACAAAACTAGAAGCCTAGTGGAAAAATCCCACTTCACGAAAAGCAGCAACCCGACCAAGCAGGCTGGTGACAGGCCCTGAAAAAAACACCTTCACGAAAAAATGGCAGCTAGAGACAACAAGCAAACTAGAAGCTCTACTGAAGAAATCCCACTCCGTGAAAAGCAGCAGGCCGACCAAGCAGGCCAGTGACAGGCCCTGAAAAAGAACACCTTCACGAAAAAAATTGGCAGCTAGAGACAACAAGCAAATGGGACGCTCTACTGAAGAAATCCCACTCCGTGAAAAGCAGCAGGCCGACCAAGCAGGCCAGTGACAGGCCCTGAAAAAAAACAACTGCACAAAAAAAACTGGCAGCCACACACAACAGGCAAACTAGAAGCCCAATCAAAAAAATCCCACTTCAAGAAAAGCAGCAGGCCGACCAAGCAGGCCAGCGACAGGCCCTGAAAAAAAACCACCTTCACAAAAAAACATGGCAGCTAGAGACAACAAGCAAACTAGAAGCCCAATGGAAAAAATCCAACTTCAAGAAAAGCAGCAGGCCGACCAAGCAGGCCAGTGACAGGCCCTGAAAAAATCCACCTTCACCAAAAAATATGGCAGCTAGAGACAACAAGCAAACTAGAAGCCCCATGGAAAAAATCCAACTTCAAGAAAAGCAGCAGGCCCACCAAGCAGGCCAGTGACAGGCCCTGAAAAAATCCACCTTCACCACTAAATATGGCAGCTAGAAACAACAAGCAAATGGGAAGCTCTACTGAAGAAATCCCACTCCATGAAAAGCAGCAGGCCGACCAAGCAGGCCAGTGACAGGCTCTGAAAAAAACAACTGCACAAAAAAACTGGCAGCCACACACAACAAGCAAACTAGAAGCCCAAAGGAAAAAGTCCCACTTCAAGAAAAGCAGCAGGACGACCAAGCAGGCCAGCGACAGGCCCTGAACAAAATCCACCTTCACAAAAAAACATGGCAGCTAGAGACAACAAGCAAACTAGAAGCCCAACGGAAAAATCCAACTTCAAGAAAACAGCAGGCCCACCAAGCAGGCCAATGACAGGCCCTGAAAAAATCCACCTTCACCAAAAAAATGGCAGCTAGAGACAACAAGCAAATGGGAAGCTCTACTGAAGAAATCCCACTCCATGAAAAGCAGCAGGCCGACCAAGCAGGCCAGTGACAGGCCTTGAAAAAAACCAACTGCGAAAAAAGCCGCTGCATTTGTTTTTTTTGTTTTTTTGATCTCCCCAGGTAAAGAAACATCGCTGTTGGGACTCGGGATTTTGAGCTTTTTGAACTTTTTGAACTCTCCAAGTAAAGAAACATCACTGTGGGGGCCCGGTGTTTTGAACTTTTTGAACTTTTTGAACTCCCCAAGTAAAGAAACATCACTTTGGGGCCCGGTGTTTTGAACTTTGTTGGTCTCCCCAAATCAGGAACTAGGATTCGAGGGACCCTGGATGTTGACTTAATATGTTTTTCCAAAATCCCCAAGTAAAGAAGCATGACTTGAGCGACCCAACTTGGGTAACTGCCACCAACCCAAATTAAATGAAACAAGCGGCCCGTCAAAACAACAAACCCTAACTAAATGAAACAAGCGGCCCCTCCAAACCAACAACCAAAACTAATGAAACAACGGCTCCCTCCAAACCACAAACCCAAACTACAGCAAATGGAAGAGCGGCCCCCTCCAAACCACCTGAAACTAGAACCATCAACCTAAACTAAAGGGAAAAATCCTCCACACAACCAACGCCAACTAAATGAAACAAGCGGCCCCTCCAAACATCAACCCAAACCAAATGGAAAAAGCGGCCCCCTCCAAACTACTAAGCCAAACTAAATGCATCAAACAGCCCCTCCAAACAAGCAACCGAAAAATGGAAAACCGGCCCCCTCCAAACCAATAACAAACAGCCCCTCCAAACAAGCAACCGAAACCAATGGAAAACCGGCCCCCTCCAAACCAATAACGAAAATTGAAAAAAAAACAACTAGAACCATCAACCTGCACTAAAAAAATCAGCGGCCCCTCCACACAACCAACCCAAACAAAATGAAACAAACGGCCCCTCCAAACCAGCAACCCAAACTAATGGAAAACCGCCCCCCAATACATCAAATGGAAAAGCAGACCCCTCCAAACCACCGACGAAAACTACGTGAAATTAGTACCATCAACCCAAACTAAAAGGAAAAACGGCCCCTCCACACAACCAACCCAAACTAAATGAAACAAGCGGCCCCTCCAAACCAGCAACCCAAACCAAATGGAAACAGTGGGCCCCTCCAAACTACCAACCAAAACTAAATGAATCAAATGGCCCCTCCAAACCAGCAACCGAAACTGACGGAAAACCGGCCCCCTGCAAACTGCCTACCCAAACTAAATGAACAAGCGGCCCCCTCCAAACCATAAAAGAAACTAGAACCACAAGCCCAAACTAAGTGGAAACAGCGGCCCGCTCCAAACCTCTTCTTTCCAAAGCCAGGCTTTTCCTTTTTGTTTTTTACGTTTGGGGATTCTCAGACACTTATTTTACTGTAACAAGTACATATTGTACTGCGCCAGGATGATGCCGTTCTTCGGAAACGATTTTGTATGCCTATGACTTTGTAAAGGTATGTGACGTCCGACGCAGCGCGAATCTTGGCAAGGAGGTATGTAACAGGGGCTCTTGTTAGTCTGTCATGAGAGAAAAGTGCTTGACACCTCCGCAGTTCCAGCACGAAAGTCGCAACTATTGATTCATCCGGCCCCTTGCTAACTGCATGTTGCAACTGTTCTTCTGCTTAAGGGGAAGCTCTTTGCAACTCTGCACATGAGCTTATCTTTTTATATCTTTTGTTTTCGTTGTTTAATCTGTTTTACAGGCTGTATTGAATCTGTACTCATTTTTGTTTAACTTGTTTTTCTGTTTTATATGTTTTTTTTAATTTTTTGTATTTTTATTATATTCGTTAATCTTTAGTATCTTCCTAATAGAAGAAACAATAGATACTAAGATCAGACTAAGTGTCCGGTATCTAGACTATCTACTTACTTTCTCTTATATCTGCATTATCTTGCAACGAGGCTTCTTAGTGTCCGGCTCGGCTTCTCCGCTAGCGCGGCCGCGAGTGGCCGCGCCACTGGCCGCGAGTCCATCTCCGCCTCCGAAGCGTCGGCCAGCGCTGGGCAGCGCCCCATGACATCACGCACTTGACCCGTGAGCCCGCTCAAAGTGGCGGGCTTTCTCCGCGGAAGGATTTCGACCACCGGCTGCGCCGGCTGCATCCCAGCCTGCAGCCCAAGCAGCGCTTGCTGCAGCATGGCCGCCGCAGCCTCCCGCAGCTGCTGCTGGCGGCCCGCTGGGGGCTGCGGGTTCCACGCGGACAAATTCCCGCCGTCTGCCTGGCCGCCGCCCAGAAAAAGGCTCTATTCGTGCGCCTCATCAGCACGCGCGTTGTCACGCTGCGCACGACGTCGGCGGCCTGCATCTTGTCAAAGACGTCCGTAAAAGTCGCCCCGTAATCCCGCTGAAAGGATCTTCCGGCAACCTCTGAACCCATTGCGTCGGCTTTGAGCGTGCCGGGCACCCTTCCGCCAGAAGCACTTCACGTACAAGAAGAGATCGTAGGCGCGGCAGCTCTCGAAGGGCGCATCGTCTCCCTACACTGCAAGAAGCGCCGCCGCCATGACCCCGAACGTTTGCTCGCTTTGGGCGCAAAGACCGGGCCTCTCCAGGAACCGCGTCATCTCCTCGAGGCGCGCGGCGTGTGGCTGCTGCACGAGCTCCTCCACGACGAAGCAGCGCGGGAAGTACGCGGGCATCGTGCTGTAGTCGCCATGGGGCTATACGCCGCTGCGACAAAGGCCGCGCAGAGCACGCACCAAAAAATAAACGACAACGGCTGCGGCGCAAAGCGCAAGAATCAGCGAGACACGCGTCTGCACATGCACCCGCTTAATTTCAACACTGCGAGCTCATGAATATGCGCAATTTGCGTTTTCGCTTCGTCGTCATCCATGCCAAAATCAGGTTTTTCTGGGCTCTCCTCCTTGACCGCGAACTTGAACTTATTTGAACTTAGGGAACTTAGGGAACTTAGCCTAAACACCTTATAAGTTAGTTACAGTAAGTCTCTCAAGTTAACTTACAGTAGAACTTAGCACAACCTCTATAAGTCAGGTTATAAGGTCTACTAGACTTTAGCATAACCACCACACGATCTAGTAGGCCCCCTCAGTCCGGTAGTCAGCGCACTTCGTGCATGGACCCGGCACCGGCCTTCTCGGCCCGTGGTCAGAGGGGCGGGTGGACGCATCGTCGCAAGCTCTACTACGAGGCCTTCGACGAGCTCACCCGGTGGGCCTGGCGGGAGTTCAAGATTGGGGTGACAAGGGTCGCCTGGGAGGAGGCATCGGATTTGCACCGGAGCTCCCTCCTGGCGTGGCAAGCAGATTTTTCCGATAACGCTTATCGGCATCTGCGAGACGTCTACCCCGACCTCTACGACGCCGTCATCGCCCGAGGCCGACACCAACAGATCCCAATCCTACAACGGGCACAGGCCGCAGCTCAAGGCGCGGCAGGGCAGCCTCCAGCTCCAGTACCAGCCCAGCCTCAGCAACAACCAAGCACCCCATCAAGTCCATCCTCCACCACAACTGTGTCCACAATCAAGGCTGCAGCTCCAAGCGCAGCTCCGACACAGGCAGCAGCAGGGCCGGGAGATCAGGCTGCAGCTCCTAGCGCAGCGGTTCCCACAAGGACCAGCTCTGAGAGCCCGTCCCGACCGTCATCCTTTCCGCCTGTGAAAGCAGGCCGGAGAAGGTACACTGCTGCAGGGAGGTCCTCATCGAGGAGGAAGAGGACGCCACCGACAAGGCGACAGCCTTCTCCTCCACCGGTGCGGAAGGCGTCAACCCGACGCCCACGATCCACTCCCCTCAGGGCTGCAGCTCCAAGCGCAGCGAGGTCGAGGACCAGGAGCCACAGCTCCCCAACACCTCCGGCCCGTGCATCCCTGAGCAGCCGGCCGCTGATCTTGGCGCCGGCCAACTGCGCCTACCCGACAACTCGGGTGGACAGCACGGGAGTCTGGATCCTCCAGCACCGATACGAGGGAGGCTCACGACCCACGCGTCGGGCGCCACACCCGGTACCCTCCGACGATCCGTACGACCTCCCAGACTCGTATTGGCATCATCCGCCAAGGGCAGGGTCCTCATCCAACCCTCCCAGAGGACACGGGAGGGCCGAACATTTTGACCTGAGTACTTCACCGCCTCCCGAAAGGTCTGCACGTGAGGTTTACTCAGGCTTGGCGGCCTTCAACCCGGACAGGGTATACGAGGCTGAGCAGGTCAGCATCAAGAGGCCTGCACCTGCCGGGCGCGACTCATCCACAGCACCCGCAACAAAGACCGCTCGGATAGTTTTTACCAAGCGGGAATCCAAGGTCAAAGCGCCCCCACAAAGCGTAATTGACCAGGCAGCTGCGGATCGCGCTGCGTCAAAGGCCATACCCCCACCACCGCTGAGAGCACCACCAGCACCCCCAGCACCAGTGCCAAGGGCTGCAGCTCAACGCGCAGTGTCGGTTCCAAAATCGATTAGCGGGGTAAAACGGCCTGAGACGCCGCCCAAAGCCTACAAGCGGGCGCCACCCTCACCACCACCACAGGTGAGGTTCAAGGCTGCCCCGGCACCCAAATTGCCGGTTAAGCAGCCCCCAAGTGCAGCAGCACCCTCCGGTGACGGAACGCCCGATTTCGGCGTACCTCAACCTGACGCCAGGGAGCCGATCATCGCCTGCCTTGACTGGCATAACACGCTCGATATTGCCATCGAGCCCGACGGTGCGCCAAAGGATTGGTTGTTTCGGTCGATAGCAAAGCTGTACCGAAACCATTTTCCTATCCAATTTCGTATCGTGAGTTACTGTCAAGCCCGTGAAACACGGGAGAGCACCCTTCGGCTTGCCACCCAGTTCACCCGCATTTGCAACGACACCATCGACGGTTTGGGCACCCCTCCGTTTGGAGACGTTGTCCTCACTTGGAAGCGGGTTGGACCATCTGGCAAGGCTGCAGCTCTAGCGCAGCTGGGGGCGAGCGTCATCATCGACGACAACAACGCCACCCTGAGGGAGTGCCGCATTGCAGGCGCACTCGGCATTTGTGTCGAGCGGCGAGACGCCAATCGGGCGCTCTACGAGGCGTTGGACGAGCTCCACGAGTATCTCAACCAACACCGACGCCTCCTCCGTCCTGCCAGAGTACTCGACCAGACAGAGTACCTTGAAGAAGTTGGTAACCGCCCCCACTCTGCAAGGGGCGGCCGCGGACTTTTTCGCTGACCTGGCACTGCCGGAGGCTGCAGCTCAAGCGCAGCAAAGGCACCGGTTTCCAACACCGGTCAAGTGCACCGGTTTCCAACACCGGTTGTATTATAAGTTTCAAGGGCCGCAGCTTGAAGCGCGGTGTGTCAGCATACGTGAGCCTGGCCTCGTGTGAAAGGTGCATCCGACATGGCATCAGGGATTTCCCCACCTTCGGATGATAGGTCAAGGTCAACCCCTGCTGGGGGAGAATCTAATGAGGAAGACCCTGAACTCGGTGATATTTCGGCACCCGCAATGTCCGTAGTTCCCGTAGGTTCCAGGGCATCCTCATCAAGAGATGTTCGTAGCCGCGAACGAAACGCGACTCCTCCCCGTAGGACTCCCATTGTAGAGGAACCTGATTCAGACTCTACTGCAACCCCCCTTGTATATAGCCCGCAAGTGCCTACGCCCGACCCATCTAGGGACATGAGTGCCGCTGCATTCGTGGCCGGATCGGCATTGCAACGTGCGCATCAAGCTTCGCTCATTGCTGATCAGGCTGCCAATGTTGCCCTTCACGAGCATCGAGCAGCGGACGAGGCACGCCAAAGGCTAGGGGAGGTTGCCGCTGTTGCGCAACAAAGGGAGCAGACCTTTAGACAACAGGCAACGGAACTGACATACCAAGCCCAGCAAGCAGTCGAACGAGCCCGTGCTCAGACAGCATTAGCTGAACAAGCTGCACAGCATTCTCAACAGGAAGCCCAAGGCCATGTTCAACAGGTGAGGCAGGAAGCTGAAGGCCATGTCCATCTGTTAAGACAGGAAGCCGTAGGCCATGTTGAACGTGCTAGGCATGAAGCCCAACAAGCAAGGTCGGCCGCAGAAGCCGAAGTGTCCAGGTTGAGACAGGAGGCTATTCAAGAAATTTCCTCACGGGAACAGAAGATCCTCCAGCAAAGCAAAGTGATAGATACATTAGGGACTGAAAACCTTTTGTTGTCGCAACGCCTTGCTGACCTAGAAAGGGCTGTCGCATCCATGGCACAAAATGTTCCGGTACCTCCGGATGAAAGTCATGAAAGTCAAAATCCTACGGATCCCGGGTCATCGGGGCTAAATGACGTTGGAAGTGACCTTCAGGTTGGATCACAGGCTCCCCAAGTTCAAGGGCCGAGTGATGCCACACGTGAGCAGTATCCCACGAAGGATGCAGCTCTAGGCGCATCGGGAAGTTCAAGTAGCAACCCTAAGGTAGCGCCACGTGCCCCTGTTGGTTTCCCAAAATCCTTCGCTCCCCCACAGCCCGACATAAAGTCAGATGCCAAGCGTGTGCAAATCCAGGATGGTGATCCACGTGCACAACCACAAGGACCACCGGATGTCGCTCGGACTCAGGATGTAAGGGGACCTGTAGACGTACAGGCACAAATGTCCTCTTTAACTGAGCTGGTCCATCAACTTTCAAAGTTAGTTGAGGCCCAGGTAGGGGTATCAGGGGCTTCGCCCCCGATCGCATCGGCTCAGGCACCCCCATCTTCCGTAGCCGCCCAGCACACAACTGCTGTCCCCACGCTTAGGCTAACAAGTGCAAGTACAAGTCAAATGGCTCAATTCCCATCCTCCCCACTCGCACCTTCGGAGGCAAGCTCCGACACATCCTCAGAATCCGGTGACGAGGGTCATACCCCTTCATGCCGTGTCTGTGGTGGCCCGCATGATGATACCGCCTGCCCCTCCCTTTCCATGAATGGGGGTCAGGGACAAGGTACTCAAGCAGCAGATGCAAGTGGTGGGGATGCTGCTACAAGCGCATCAGATCCGGCCTCGTATGAGGAAACCGTGGTTCGCATAAAGGACCTTAAGGATTTAGTGCTTCCGCTTCCGCCAGAGAACGCCGGACAGGCGCGTGGATACGTGAATCAAGTCCTCATGGCCATTGGACGTCTGCAAAAGACGACCGGTGACGAGCTCTATCTCTGGGCTCAGGATTGCCTGACCTCATCCGAGGAACAACTCAGGGCAGATAAACGTTTCCCACGCACAACCCGTGAGATAGCCGCCAAGCTGTTGAAAACGTGTCGCAAAGGCAAGTTTGGGTTGCTGTTCCAAAACATGGTGGAGCACGAACGGAACACCGCAGGTACAATGCCCAATGGGCGCGTGATGTTGCGTTCGATCTTCAAGCACTTTCAACTGGAGCGTGATCGGATCGGCATCCTTGGAGAACGCAATCTTCTAGGTTTAAAACTTGCCGGCCAATCAGTAGCGGACATAGAGGCTTTCCGTGAGAAGTACAACTATATTCTCCGTGCGATACCTCTTGATGAGCTCCCCAAGGAAAGAACTCTTTTCAATCATCTCATGGATGAGTTTGAGAAGTGCCCAATAATGAAGCATCGCGTTGAGAAGGCCCGTGAGTCCGCCCATGATAGTCACCGCCGCACCTGTGCATGGCTGTGGGCGAAGGCAGACCTGGCCATTGAGCTTGCCCAGCAAAAG